AGCGCGGGAACCCGCCCGGTGCCCCTGGTCTGCTGGAGACGGTCTCCAGCAGACCAGGGGCACCGGAGCAGCTTACGAACGGGGCTTTCTCGCCCCGACCTCCGGGGCGAGAAAGCCCCGTTCGTAAGTGCGGATCCGACATAAGTCGGATCCGCGTAAGTCGGGGACTGCCTGTACACTGGCATCCAACGATAAACTGTTTATATTCAGCAGACTTGTTTTAGCTTTCAAAAGTCATCTTCAGTAATGTATGAAAGATTCTACAGTTTTGGAAACGAACGGGGCTTTCTCGCCCCGACCTCCGGGGCGAGAAAGCCCCGTTCGTAAGTGCGGATCCGACATAAGTCGGATCCGCGTAAGTCGGGGACTGCCTGTACACTGGCATCCAACGATAAACTGTTTATATTCAGCAGACTTGTTTTAGCTTTCAAAAGTCATCTTCAGTAATGTATGAAAGATTCTACAGTTTTGGAAATCAGATTTTCTCAGATTTGTAGGGGTTAGTGAAATTGGTTAATCTTAGTTTAATTGGGGGAATAGGAATCACTGCCTAATCCATACATTACAAATAAGCAGTGACCAGAAATATGAAATGACAGGTGAGTCTTTGGTTTATGCAGTGCCCTTGCAACATAGCATTGTCCATGAGATAAATGTTGCTAACAGGTAACATTGCTGCCTCTAGGAAGGAGCTCATATTGTAAGACACCCATTTAGCTATAGTGTAAGATGGCAGTTATCCCCATGAAATCAATAGAAATCTCACCTTTGTATGCCAGGCCTGACTTTGATCCCAAAAGTCCAGTGTACGTAGGAATGTCACAGTAAAGTACCAGAATAGCCACTTTGTGTTGTGTGATCATTGAAGCTGAAATGCTTCTGAGAACAAGTGGGTGTTTAGAAGCTTGGCAGACTGACTGAAAGTCTGTTTGGATTTCAAATTATCAAATGTCCTTTCATTAATTGACTCCCGTCACCTTTTGTATATTTCCCTTTGCTTATTAGACTTGTTTATTCCCCTTTGGCTAGCCTGTTTTGGTTTCAGGATTGTTATACCGATCCAGTGATGTAAACAACCATTCCATTTAATCTGTTTCATGAAAGTAATCCACTGGCTTCAGAACAAAAGACTATATACTTGTGAATAATAATATCTTTTTAGTTCCAAGGAGTTGCACTACTATAACAGAGGAGAATTTGGCTCTTTATATTAAACAGTTGTTTTAAATATAGATTTTTCCTCTGGTGCCCGAGGCCCTTCTGATGTTATAGATAGTCCATCTGTTACAAAGCAAATGCATTGTTTTCTGTGATTACTGAGAATTTAGTTGATACTTCAGTTTTCAGTTTTGTTTTGTATAAAACAAAACAAAACAAAATGGCTACTTTATTAAGCCAGGATGGCTGCTGATTGCAGGAGTTTTAACTCATCTTTCTGAAGTAAAGGCTTTTGGGGTTTTACTCTTCTGTGCATGGATACTTCCATCTGGAGTCAAATTTTGACATGAATTTTGATGGAGGAATTATTGTGGAATAGGCAGTAGGTTTAAATTCCCAAATCAAGTTATCCCTGGATTTCCCACAATGAGGCATGTTTTGATATAACTGCTCTGTTAACCCTCTTTCTAGTTCTGCCATTGGCTGATGTGAGCAGAAATGTGGGAAGTTGTGTAACAGCAGACATGGGAAAAAGTTTCTTTACACCATGAATCTTTCACAATATCAAGACTTTTTGGAATAAACGTGATGCAGCAGTATAACATGTATACATGCAAGGTTGCCATGCAGTTTCCTACACAAAGAACTGCTTTGTTTTTCTCTAGTTTTTAATCCATAGTACCTAGTATGTCTGGTGGTCCCTGCCAGCCTGATCTTAGAGATGGAAAATATCTAATAGTGCTTTAGGTCAGTTTTGCACTACCGGCTGCTTGCCTGCCCTTTTAATAGATCAGATTTCTAGTTGCAGTTTCTTCTAGGGATGACCAGCAAAGTTTTGGGAGAGATAGGGATTGATGCTATTTGTTGCATATAGAACACCTGGGAACACTGATTGATTAGTCTTTCTGTTTTTCCAATTACTGTAGGAATATCAGGGCTGTCACATCCCAGAACCCTGTTGATGGAGGTTTCCTTTTATTCCTCCTTCAATCAAGGGACTGGGGGGACTCACTTTTTAATAAGCTATTATAAAACCTGAAAAAAATAGTCTTCCTCCTCTCCATAGATTGTTTTACTTTCTTGATATCTGTAATAATCCTACTACTCCTATAGTTATCTATGGACCCTTCTAAGAAAAAAGTACATAGAGCTGACTTTTTTTAAAAACACACCAAAACAAAACCTATTTTGGTTTAGAAAGAAGGCATGAACATTTTTCCTCATTTAAAAAATCTACAAAACAAAAAGTACTGACAATTATTTGTGTTTGGTTTCATTCTGCTTCCTTATAGATTACTTTCCAATAATATTTTTACGAAGTAGAAGAACCATTTTCCATTATGCTAGATTCCTTCTTGCCTCTCTAATTAGAGGAATAAGAGAAGAGTGTATTTGGTGTATTTCTGTTTTCACTTAGCTGAGCCAGTTAAGAGAATTCCACTGTATTTATATTTAAAATATTCACTTTTAAGACTGAAATTGTTTCCTTTTTTCCTTTGCTTCTTTCTGGCTTTTACTAAGGTTCCAAAGAACTATGAGTGATGTGAAGGAAGGACATTCTTCCCTTTTTTAATTAGAAATGTCCTTGGTTCACTCCTTCCCCTTTACCATAAAATATTTAGTATCTCTGATAATTATCTTCTAAACTCAAGAAAACAGTAGGTTCGAGTAGGGGGAAAACAATGATGTATCTAGAACTAGAAAGGCTGTCTTAAAAGAGAGTACAATTTCCTGAATAATAGAGAGAAAAGATAAGATAAAATGCATGAAACATACTAAAATTCTTACAGGAAGCAAAAGGATGTAGATGACTAATCCTGTTGCCAGCTGTGCCTTGTTATGACATTATAATATGTTTGTAATGTCAGAGAAAATTTATTCTCTAAAAATTTCTGTTGACATTTTTTACTTTGGCCTTTAAAAAAATAAGAAAAGGCTTTTCAAACTCATCTAAAATGACATTTTAATACATGATGTAACAAATTTGGGCATTACAATGAGGTAAAATGAAAAATTGGGTAACCTGTAGGTTGCACTCATAAATTAACCAGCTACAAACTTAGGACTCAATCCATTACTTGCATAAGACTTCATTGAGCCCTGTATGAGTGAGTGTTTCATCAGGCCTAGGAGCCCAATCATGCTCCCACAGAACATAAGAGTTTTGCCACTGATTTCAGATTTGCCTCTTGTTGACTTTGTTTGAATTTTTGTTACTGCAGTTTGACTCCTGGCCTGGGTTGCACAAACTCAGAAATAGAGCTGAGGGAATAATTGATTTTTGAGTTCAGTGATCAAAAATTTTCCAGGGAAAATAGTTTCTTTTGAACCATAATTAATGTTTTTAAAAATTTCCCCCACTGAAAAAAATTCAGTTTTGATTCAAAACCGTTTTGATCCTTTCACAGTTGTTTTCCTTATTTTTTAGAATTCAGCCAAAAGTGAATTCTGCCAGATTCTCAAACTGCATTTCACCAGCTGTACTAAGCCTTGTCTATACAAAAGTATTTTGATATTGTAACTCTATAAAAAACACGTTGAATCCACTCACACAATTCCTCCTTTGGTGAATGGGATTTCAGTCTGCTGTTGTGACTGCACTTGTTCTGAGTGAAGCTAAGCACTGTTGCACCCAGCATGTTATGCTGCTGTGCTAATATAAACAGGAGCTATTGCAGCTGAAATCATACAATTAGTCTTCCCATTTGTATCTCATAGTGATTCGAATAAATAACATCTCCACAATTTCTTCCTCCTACCCACATTGATACAGACCAATGGTGCTGCTTGGGTGGTCCTGTTTTATAAAGGAAGTTGTATTTCTTTCAGTTTTCTAATTTGTTTTTCTACAACAGTCTGTACTGTAGGAGTTTTGTAAAAATGCCACATGAGGTTATCAAGATAGCCTTTATTCAGAAGTTTGCTGAAATATATACAGAAAAGTCAATTCCCCTTGTCAATTTCCTTGCTGGGACTTACAAGTTTGATCTAGCCATTTTTTCTCTGCCTGAGTGGTGGGTCCCAGGAGTGGTGCTCTCTTAGTCACAGGTGGGTGGGAGTGATGTGAATAGGAAGAAAGGGATGGGTTCTACAAAATCCTATTATTTTACTCCAATAATTATGGATAAGGTGCATCTTCCTGTGGTTGAATTATGAGCTTCCTTCCTTCCCTCCATGTGGCAAGTGAAAGCAACAGCTTACTAGCACTAGCACCTGCTCTTCTCTGCTTCCAGGGCCACCTCATTTGTCAATAACAGGCATATGCAGCCTGCTCTTATTGAAACACCAAAAAATGTCCCAACTTTTCATATATGTCCTTACCACTTTCATCATCTTTAGTAGCATGTTGTCCTTTGGTGAACAAGAGAATGTAGAAGCCTAGGAGCAAACAAAAGAAGGGAAACAATAAACAATCAAAAAGAGGGTGAAAAACAAGACAAGAGAGGGACAGTGGCAGGAGAAAACCGGCACAGAGCAATACAAGAGAGGTAAGGGGAAGGAAGTTTAATAGGTAACAGCCATGATACCAGGGCCTGGCATCAGTGGATCAGAGTCCATAAAGCAATACAAAGGAAGATAGTGTCTCTGTCAAAGGGTTGGGAATTATTGGCTCAAGTCCTAATTAGTTCCCTATGCTTTCCCATGCATCATGTGTGTTTAGCTTTATTTTTGTTAAGTATTCAAAGATTGGAATAATTCCCATGTATGTTTATTTCACTGCTCAGAGGCCACAGAAAATGATTAATATTAGTTTTGTCTACCTGCAGTATTTTATATTGATTATATTTTTCAGGAACATCCATCGCTTGGGCAACTTTCTGAAAAACTCATAGACAACAACATCAATGTTATCTTTGCAGTTCAAGGAAACCAGTTTCACTGGTATAAGGTGTGTTAAAAGTCATAATTGCTACTGATTGCTTTTTAAAAAGTGAAATATAAAGATTGTAATTGTGAATAAATGATTGCATTTTTCATAGGATCTTTTGCCTCTGTTGCCTGGTACTGTTGCAAGACAGATAGAATCACAAGCAGCTAATCTCAATGATTTGGTGGTAGAAGCCTATCAGGTATGTTTCTCATGAGGATTTTGTATAGTTTCTTTTCCTTATTTGTGCAGTTCTCTTACATGTAATAAACTACAGCCGAAAGCGAGGATTTTCAAAAGTACCTAGGGGAATTAGGTTCCCAAATACTATTGAAAGTCAATAGTGGTTGGGTTCCTGGATCCTTTGAAATTCCCAATCTGAGGTCCATAACTGAAGAACATTAAAGTGACCTAACCATCTGATGGTTAGGATGGGTTCTCATTTTATTGGTGCCTTAATTGCTCCTAATTGTTCAAGGGGAACCTTTGCACTTGTGGGCACGCTACTTCTTAGGAAGTGTTTTCTGTGTCTCTGCCTTCCTTAACAGTTTTGTATCATTTCTGCCTTCTCTCATTTTTATTTTTTTGTTTTCTCTTTATTTCTTCCTCTTACTATTCTGTTCTCAATCTGTTCTCTCCTTTTTCTCTTATTTTTTACTTATTTTGTTTTCCACATGCGTACATTCTTTTTTAGCTATTTTTCCCAATATCAATATTACATAAAGGCTCAGAAATATAATATAAAACAATATACATTGTATCTATGATATGACTGTATATTACAACATTTTTTAACTTCTAGGAGTTGAGAGTGTCTTACTCACTGATGTCCACTTGTGATATAGTCTTAAAGTAGGTTTTGCCATAACAGGATAATTATGTTAAGATTGGATTTACAAAAAGATATTAGAGCATTTGCCATCTTTCATGCCAGGATAAAGTTTTACAAACCATTATCTTTTTAGGTCTGAGGATTGTCAAGCATATCAAATAAATCAGTAAAGTATGTCAGTGCATATTTAACTTGCAATGATGTTAAAAGCAGGCATTATGCAATAGTGAATGCCAGACAAAGGCAGCGGTGGTTGAATTCATATAAATCAGTTTATTTCAGTGAATTTAATCTCTGTGTCATGCCATCTCTCATAATGTTAAAATGCTTAATTTTGAAACTCCAGAAAACTCCTAAGGTGTATGCTAAGCAGCATTTGGTTAAGGCAACTGTCCTCTTTAACATGCTGTAGTATCCATGGATTATTACTTGTTAACAGTTTCTAATCAGTAATGTGGCACATTTGTGTTAGTCATTAAATATTCCATCCCAATTTCTAGAAGATGCTCCTGAACAGATATGCAATGATAGAAACTGAAAATTTCACAATGTAACGTTTTTATTTCATAGACAGTTCTTTGGGACTTTCCTGCTTTATCCACCCACTCTCTCCTCTTGTACTGGTTTTTTTTTATTATTATTATTATTTTAATTTTTAATCCTAATATTATGTGGATTTGGTACTTTCAGTTTTTAACATGGTCTTACCATGTGTGTTACACAATGTTTTGAATGACTTGAATGTTTTGTCTTCCTGAAAGCAAATATAATTATATAAGAAAATAAATGTATTGTGAATGTTAGATAATCGGCCTTTTGCACTTGTGTTCTAAGCAGGGAAATCTATTGACTTGTTTATGGAAAACACTAGCTGAAAATCCTTGGCTAAAATACCCTAGATGAGTCACTATTGTACAGATACTAGTTTTTAACAATCAGTTTTAATTAGGGATGTTAAAATTTACTTTAATCATCTAATTGACTAGTTGATGGAATTTCCATCAATTAGTTGATAAGTGGGGGGAGCCACGGAGGGGTTAGCTCCTGGCTCCAGGAGCTAACCTCACTGCAGCTCTGCCTTTTAAATGTATTAACAGCCAGCAGGCTCTTAATACATTTAAAAGGCTGAAGTAAAGTGGGGGGACCCCGCACGAGCTGAGACAGCTGATTCCAGCACCGGCTCCTGCTCCCCCCACTTGCTGCTTCTGATAGAGAAGTAAAGAGGGAAGCAACTACTGGACTATCTGATAAAATTATGCAACTACTCGACTGCTCGATTCGTCCCTTACATCCCCATTTTTAATAAATCTGTCATAAATCAAATAGAAGCAATATTTCCACTAAAATGAACAGGCAGACAATTTTTGATGATGTTTGGTATTTTGATTCATACAATAGTTGCACTGAAGTACCCAATGAGGATTGGCTTGTTGCCTGCTTAATACCATCTGTCCTGAATAAATCAGTCAGTCTAATCCAGTATAGATTTTAGAATAACCTGAGACTTGAGAAACTTTTTCATAAGCAGATGCAAAATGTCAGAAGTGGAACTGTCGAGATAATTTGAAACTTTTCCTGCTAGATAACAAAAGATGCAGACTTGCTCTTTTATTTAAAGACTGCTGTTAAGACATTATTGTCACTACAATAACCAGTTTTTGTTGCACAGTCGTTACAATAGGTTTTTCAGTGGTCATATACATAGTCACAAAACTATTTAAAATAGAAGAAAACTTTAATATCGATACCCTAATATTCAAGTGCGTGCTTACATCTATTCTAATATAGGTGAGAGCATGTCACATGCACCGTCACCAGAAGTTTTTTCCCCTGGTGGTATTTTTCGGGTCAATTCTGGTGCCCATTGGAGTGGTATGGTATAAAGTCACAAGCCTAACTACCTCCTCAGTTCTTTTTTCCCTTCTATGATGGTTGCTTTAACCTTGTCATTCTCTTACTCTGCATGCAAATACTCCTTAATGTGAGTAAGTTCAATTAATCATTCATCAACAGATAGCTAAGATAGAGTACTTCTAAGCTCCTGTGTTCCCTGGGGCTGCAGACATGCTTTGGTCCCAAAGCTTCAAATGGTATGCAACATTCCACAAGCAAACCTTATGATGGCACCCCTTCATTGTCTTTAGGTTCCAATGCTTTGGACATGGAATGGGGAGCCCACTTGGGCCCCCCTCATGATGCCAGAAGAATTAACCCTACATATCAGTGTCAGGGAATTAAGAACAGCACGGATAGCCTGTCAGGCATTTTGTTACAACTTACATGGCAAATTCATGTCACAACCGTAACGTTTTACACAAACAAACAAAGGGAGGCTCACTTTTCTCCCTTATGCCAGGAAGCATTGAGGCTATGGGAAGCCTGGGAAGCCGCTTACCTACCAGGCACTCAGAACAGGCTGACAGACTTCCTGAGCAGATCTTTCGCCAATCATCACAAGTGGTCCATACGACCAGAGCAGAAGTGGTGGTTGTTCAAGGTAAGGAGGGTCAAGGCACACACAATCCTTATAGCACTGGCATGCCAACATTGTTTCATGATCTTGCTGGCTCTCTTGATAGAGACATTTGTCAGCCTTCTGGTGCTGCCTGACTTGATGCCTACACTAGATGGCTTGGAAGCTTCATGGCTGTGTGAGGCAGAAAAAGGCTGCTTAGCACTGGTGCAAGCCTTCCTTATGGGTATCAGAAAGCAGTCAACTAGAACAGCATATTTGGCTAAGTGAAAGACTTTTACCCTGTGGTCGCTGCGGAGAAAGACCCTTCCTTTGGAGGCCTGACTGCCCATTATACTGCTGTATTTGAAGAAGGAATTTCTTGTGGTATTGTCCATCAGGGTTCACTTAGCTGCAATCTTGGCTTTCCACACAGCCTTCCACACAGAGGTGAATGGCTGGTCTATATTTTCAAATCCAATCTATGCTTGATTCTGGAAGGGATTAGAGCATTTGTATCCACATGTGCACCTACCCCTGCCTCTTTGGTACTGTCAAGACTGACAGGGCCACAGTCAGAGCCAATGGCCCTCACCTCTGAACTGCCGTATACTGTTTTCTTCATATGCAAGGAGAGCCCTGCAAATCCACGGATATGTTTAGTATCCATTGGTATCCACATCTGTGGATGCAGATATCTGCAGCTCATTTTTGCAGATATGGATGTGGATTTTGTATCTGCACAGGGCTCTGTAGACAAGGTCCAACTTCATCCACATCTGTCCTTCCTTCTGAAAGTGGTTTCATATCACACTAACCAGGGCATTTTTCTACCCATCTTTTACCCAAGCCTCATGCTAATAGGCAAGAGCAGAGGCTAGATTCTCTGGAGGTTAGATGCCAACCTAATGGATTCCACTAGAGGAAAAACATCTGGTGATGTTGCGTACAACATGCACACACTTATACTGGAATGAACATGAGCAACACATGAGCATAAACTTTTGTGGGTAATCTTACATTCGTCTGATGAAGTGGGTTCTACTCATGAAAGCTTATGCCCTAATAAATCTGTTAGTCTGTACGGTGCCATAGGACTCTGCATTTTTTACAGATATGTTAGGTTTGTTACTGTTTTTATCTTTTTCTTTGGTAGCTAACTAATTTCATGCATATGGACTATAACTGAGTTTATATGGAAAACAAATGCTTAATTCATTCCTTTTATTCAGACAAACAAGATTTACACAATTCAGTTAAATCCATTCAGTCAAACATGCTCATGTTTTAAACATTAGCTCATATTATTATATGTTTAAATGCAATGTAATTAAAAATTCTTTTTTATTACAGAAACTAATCTCTGAAGTGAAAATTCAGGTGGATAACCAGATCCAAGATCTACACTTTAACATAACTGCAATCTGTCCTGATGGAAGTAAAAGAGCAGGCATGGAAGGATGTAAAAATGTGGCCTATAACGACGAAGTATGTTGAGTTTCTCAGTCTCAAAGGAAATTAGCCATTTATTTATTCTTTTATTAGATTTCAGTTTCATGGTATCTTCTAGGATGTTTTTAGAATTAAAAGTAGATTTCTATGTTCTTGGCCGTGAACTCTCTGCATTCTCCTTGGAGGTATTTCTCCTGAACTTTATTTGAAATCAAAAGCTAATGTTTCTTCTCACGCGTCTCATGGAGATAAAGCTCAAAGCATTGTTGTCAACCATAAATAATATTTATGAGGACTATTCCCCAGAGCCCATTACTGAATGTGCTCATGTTCTATATGAAAGGTTTCTTCAGCTGAAAAGCCTTAAAGATATGTGAGTAGAGGGGAAGAGTCATTTAGAGGGAGACGGAGAAGTGCTTGGCCATGGCTTGGAGCTTTCCCTCCACCCCGTTTCTTTATTTAAAAAGTGTATCTTCTATATATGCCCAGAGATCCTGGTAATTGGTAAAATGTGTAAATCAGATTAAAGAGTCAATGCCCACCTGGAGCATTATCTCTAGTGATGTAATTAGTTCTATTTGGACATGCATTTTTATCTTTAGCAAGGTAATTTATTTAGCTCATTAAGAAGAGGTTTGTGGGGGTTTTTTTGTTTTGTTTGTTTTTGGAGTGCAAGATCAAGGAGTTCTATTCCTGTTACCAAGTGTATGTAGCTTAGATAATGTCACTTGTGTCTCTGTATGTATGCATACAGCCACAAATCAGTGGATTTGCTTTGTGAAATTTAGAAATTACACCATGGTTTATACTTGTGTGGATTTTGTTTGCATGACTAGTTCCAGATGGGTTTGCTAGTTTTTTCCTTTAAGCTCACACAATGTTCCCATCTATGCTTGCCATAGGCAGTATCATTGTTATTAGTTCTGTTGTCTAATGAACAGAAAAATAAATGTTTATCTGTTTCTCTTTAATTGAAAAAAAAGCCAATTAATTGTAAAAGAGAGCAAAAGTGGTCCTAAAAGCAAGCAGCAGCTGAAAATCAGCCCTCTTCAAGAGGTTAACTTCTTAACAGTAAATCTTCCTTTCAGTATTTGTTTACTTGGAGAATACTTTTCCTTAATTCTCACATTCCTTTCCTTGCACAACCCTCCTTTTTTCCCCTCCTACCAAAACACACAACTGTTCTGTGCTTTGGAAGATTCTGTGATCACTTCAGGATACAGGCAGCTCAGCTTGTCTTGACCAGTAAGGGTTGTCATAATGTTTAATAGTATTTATACTGTGCCCTAAAAGCATGTTACTACTTATAATGTAAACATGTAGCTCACGATTTTAGGATCATGCACCAAGAAAACACAGGAGACAGACAATATACTGTGTCCTGCTGCTTAGAAGCACAGCCTTTCTCACTCTTTTGTCCTAAGGATTGTGGTTATCTGGCTAATTGTGTAGTCAATACAATCTGTATCAACTACACGATTAGTTAATAAGAACCGCAGAGCCACAGGGAGGGTAGTTCCAGGAGCCGGCTCGAGGCAGGACTGAGCAATCCGAGCTTGTGCCAGCTCCAGGAGCCACATGCACTGCAGCTCTGCATTTTAAACATAGCAAGAGCCACCAGGCACTTACTACATTTGAAGTGCAGTGGTGCAGCGTCCCAAACCAGCATGAGCTGGGTCTGCTTGGTCCTGGCTTGCACGGAGTCCGGCAGGCCCTGTTCACGGTGGCCAGGGGCTGCTGCTGGAACAGCCCCTGCACACAGCCAGCCCAAGCTGCCGCGAACAGGGGCTGCTTGGCGGCAGCAGCCCCTGTCCGTGGGGGGGCCCACCTTCCCGCTGGGACAGGGTCGGCCCACAATATTTTGGCACCGGAGTCGGGGAGCTCAATGACGCCCCCATGCCCACTCGCTTGGGCCAAAACTTTGAAAGGTCTCAATTCTGCCTTCTTCCTGTTCTACTCCTCTCATGGCACTCCACCATCTATGTGTCAAGTATCAGAGGGGTAGCCGTGTTAGTCTGAATCTGCAAAAGCGGCAAGGAGTCCTGTGGCACCTTATAGACTAACTGAAGTGTTGGAGCATAAGCTTTCGTGGGCAAAGACTCACTTTATCAGATGCACTCCACCATCTCTGTGCAACTAGAGCAGAGAGAATACATATGCACTAGCAGCTGACACAATTTTCTACACTCTGGGTTGTAGTTGTGCCCTCCATAGTCTGGCACCTAAGGCAGCTGCCTCAGTTCGCCTTATTGCGAGGCCAGCCCTGCGCTGGGACCCCCTATTGATAGGGGTTGCTGTTGGAGCAGCCTCTGCCCACAGCAAGCCTTGGCCTGCAGCAGGCAGAGGTTGCTTTGCAGCAGTGTCCCCTACCCATCCCGCCCCGCCCCCGTGGGTTGTAGTTGTGCCCTCCATAGTCTGGCACCTAAGGCAGCTGCCTCAGTTCGCCTTATTGCGAGGCCAGCCCTGCGCTGGGACCCCCTATTGATAGGGGTTGCTGTTGGAGCAGCCTCTGCCCACAGCAAGCCTTGGCCTGCAGCAGGCAGAGGTTGCTTTGCAGCAGTGTCCCCTACCCATCCCGCCCCGCCCCCGCTGCCTCTGAGGGCAGGGTGGCACCACAGAGACACTTCTGGGGAGAACCAGCTTTTAAGCTGACTCCCCCCATCACTGGCTCCTGTCCCCCCGCCCCTTGTTGCTTCTCAGAGAGGCAGTGGGGAAAGGGAGGAGCGAGTAGTCGATACTCTAGTTGACTACTTGCTAACATCCCTATGTTGTCCACGTACAAATCAGGTCTGAGGCTTTCTTCAGTCTGGTCCCAAGATAGCTGTAACTGCCAAACAAAGGCTGACTTTCTCCAGCTGGGGGTCAGAGAGGTGGGTGGAGAAGAAAAGGAGAAAGCAGTTTTACTTTCCCGTACTTATTCCAAACTTCTTGTGTAAATACAATAGTCAGTTTCTTATGTTTTCTGCATCTGGTCTTTAATTTAGAAATCTACAAATCTACTTAGTCTAGGGAACACTAAAATAAAACATTTCCTTCTTTTCTTTTAACACCCCTTCTTTCTGTTTATATTCTTGCTCTTATGAACACAGACAGATCAAATTATTCTCTTTCCAGTTAGCAGGCTAAGTAGATTTTCAGAAAAGGCTCCCATGCTTGGTTCCCTCCATAGGCAGTACCATAGAAATGAAAGTTTCAATAGTCAGTTGACCCAACCCCTGGGAAAGTATCTAGTGCCTACAAGGTTTCCAAAAGTCATGGATGCTAGTTAATCAGAGGTCTGCCATATCAGAGTGTATGGGCATCCATTGGCAGAAGTGCAAAAAGAAAAAAGGATGGCTCTGCAGAGGTAATTTGCAGCACCACTTCAGGAGGCCCCCGACTTGTGATGCGATTGGTTCCTGGGGAAGCACCGCAAGTCGGGGGCGTCGTTACTCAAAACTGCATTTATAATAGGTGCCGTGCGCCCTCGTAAATGCAGGCCTAGGATGTAAGTCGGGGGGCTTCGGCCCCTTCCACACTTAACAAAAATGGTTGTATGTGCAGGGGGTCGGAACTCAGGCGGTCACAAGTCAGGGGCCTCCTGTACTGTACTTTCGCTTTCTGCAGGTCTATGTTCTGAGTCTATCTGTCCTTCTGCCCCCTGCTGGAAGCTGGATAACCATGAAAAGTTCCCATAGGCTTGCTGTATCACAGGATAAGAGTAAGATGTATCCTATGCTCAAGCTTAAGGCTGGTTCTTGTTATTTTTTTTACATTTGTATAAGATCCAGGAAATTGAAGAGAGTTTTTCCCATGTCTTACCACTAGAAAGTAGTAGAAGATTTCTTAGAGGAAGATCTTCATAATCCCTCTCCAGCTGTCTTTTTGTCTGGTGGAAGAAGGTTTGATGATTCACTGGTTTCTGTTAGCTGGCAATGGGCACAAATTAGCAGCCAGAAAGATCTCATTATGTACAGTCTGTTCTCCTCTTTTAACTTATTTATAAGTCATGAAGGGAAGAACCCACCCATGCATTCATTAGGCTGTGAGCAACACTTAGTGCTAGGGATCACGGTGATATTTTGTATATTGGAAACTAAGTTTACATAATCTTCAAGTAGCAGTGTTGTGCCTGGCCTAACCCAGAGCATTCATGCAGAAGGCATAAAAGCCAGATCAGTTCTCCAAAGGATACATATATATGGTATCATTCAGATTGCATACTGAACCTTCAGATATGTAATATTTTAACTTTTTTTATTTGGTAGGCTAGTGTTGATGAAATGCCAAAAAGTATAAGTCATGTTACAGGCTTAACCATGCAACAGGCATGTATATGCTGTTCAAATACTTTTATTTATGTCTTCAAGTGTCACAAAGTTTGCCAACACATCAACTCACTGATAATAGGCAACTCTGAAAGGTTGATACATTTATATTGGCATAAATTGTAACTCTTAGTGGCAGGGATGTGTCTATTTGGTGCCTTGCTCTTCAGAGTCCCAATTATGATCGAGGCTCCTGGAGCTCTCATAATATAAATCATAACAAGAGAAGGAAATTTCTAACACCAGTGTCAGAAGTTAGAAATGGAACAGCTGCCTTTGCTAATTCTATATTCCTTTGTTTAAATCTGCATTCTGCAGATAATGTATCATGCCCGTTCCACATGAAAGGCATCTTGTATGATTGAATTTCATAATACTTGTTACTTTTGTCATTACACAAATATTATGCATTCATAAGTAGTTACTATGTCTTCAGTCTTATTGCTTGGTAAGTATTGTAAGTGGTAGGATTTCTTTGATTTTTGATGGAATGTTGAAACCATTTCCAGGAAACAATTACTACCTTATAAATGCAGGGATTTTTTTTTGTTTGTTTGTTTTGGTCTTAGGTGCTTTTTAATGTGTCAGTTGCAATGAAAGGATGTGGTACAAGTGGAAGAAGAAAATATGTGGTAATCAAACCTATTGGTTTCAATGAAACCACTATAATTAATATACACAAAAACTGTGCCTGTCATTGTGAGGACAGTACAAAGCACAGCAGAATATGTGCCGATGAAACTTTTCTCGATGATGAAAGCACCCATTGTGAAGACACTAACTGTAGTTCCAGTGAAGATATGTTTTCTTCTGAGAGATGTAAATTACACCCAGACCAGCCCATCTGCAGTGGTCAAGGTGACTGCATAGGTGGAAAATGCCTCTGTCACAGAACCAAACTGGGCAAAGTATATGGCAGATACTGTGAAATGGATGACTTTTCTTGCCCATATTACCATGGAAACCTGTGTGCTGGTAAGCTACAGAACTTAAGTATGTTTTTGCTCAGTCATGTGTTTATATACAGTATGAAGTCTAACAATAAAGAATATGATTGTCAAACACTGACTGACGTCCTCTGTTAACTACAGCTGACTCAAAATTTTCTACACTTTTGAGATTGTCTGAAGCAAAACCCTGGACCTATTCAATCTCCAAATTTAAAATATCAAGACTAAATTCTCTTATTTTTCTAGAGATGATAATCCTTTTGTCATGGATATTTCTATAAAAAAAGAGAAGCCACTTCTACATTTGAGTCTCTGTGAACACAATCAACTTTGGGAAATATCTTTCTGCATCTGATTTTGTCTCTCAGGCTCATCTCTGGTTACATTATGGCATGGATTCAGAAGATGCAATAACATAGCATACTATAATTATAGACCTTAGGTTGATCTTCAGTTTTGTATACTAGAAAGTATACTAACATAGCCCAAAACACCTAAGTCAGAAACAGGACTATATGAGAAGTATGAAAACAAATGAGCTGTTCATTTGGTACCTGAGACCTTCATTCCATTCTTTGGGTGAAATCTTGTGCACAACAAAAGGTACAAATGAAAATTGTTGCCTGAGGTAGCAGTGTGACATGAATGTCAAAAGACTATTACAACAGGAGCAAAGAGGCAGACTGTGCCCTGTACCATTGTTATTTGCCAGCCAATTTTTTTTTCCTCAGTGGAAGTAACATTTAAATATTTATTTTAAAATAATTTATTCTGTAATTTTTTTAATCCGTGCTGTTCAACAAAATGCATCCATGTATTTAATTTCACTTCTCCATATAGTGCCCAACCTGTGCACTGAGGGTCAAACTTAAGTCACAGGTACAGTGGTGTAAATTTAGATCAACTCCTGACTTCTGTATTATTATTCCGGTTTAGCATTATGGTAACTATTGCTGTGGCTGAGTAGGCTGCCCATTCTGAAGCCCTTCTCCAGTCCCTTCAGAGTGTACCCCTTTCAGGTATCAGGCATCCACTTCTTTCGGGGATGAGATGTTACAGTCCAACCACTCTCCAGCTGGGTTTCTGTGTCACTTCCCTGGTTTCCAGCCATGTTATTTAGCACGTACAGTGAGCTTGGCACCTGCAAGATTTTTTTCTCTGAGCACATTGCAGAGAAACTAAATTATTTCTTTGCTTCAGTCTTCACGGCTGAGGACGTTGGGGAGATTCCCGAATCTGCACCGTCCTTTGTGGGTGATGAATCGGAGGAACTGTCCCAGATTGAAGTGTCATTAGAGGAGGTTTTGGAACAAATAGAAAAAGTTAATGTTAACAAATCTCCAGGACCGGATGGCATTCATCCAAGGGTTCTAAAAGAACTCAAATGGGAAATTGCTGAGCTATTATCTGTGGTTTGTAACTTATCCTTTAAATCGGCTTCCGTACCTAATGACTGGAAAGTAGCCAACGTGACACCAATATTTAAAAAGGGCTCTAGAGGCAATCCTGGCAATTACAGACCGGTAAGTCTAACTTCAGTACCGGGCAAATTAGTCGAAACAATAGTAAAGAATAAAATTGTGAAGCATGTAGAAGAACATAATTTGTTGGACAAAAGTCAACATGGTTTCTGTAAAGGGAAATCCTGTCTTACTAATCTATTAGAGTTCTCTGAAGGGGTTAACAAGCATGCGGATAAGGGGTATCCAGTAGATATAACATACTTGGATTTTCAGAAAGCCTTTGACAAGGTCCCTCACCAAAGGCTCTTGTGTAAATTACATGGCCATGGGATAAGAGGGAAGGTCCTTTCTTGGATTGAGAACTGGTTAAAAGACAGGAAACAAAGGGTAGGAATAAATGGTAAATTTTCAGATTGGAGAGGGGTAACTAGTGGTGTACCCCAAGGGTCAGTCCTGGGACCAATCCTTTTCAACTTATTCATAAATGATCTGGAGAAAGGGGTAAGCAGTGAGGTAGTAAAGTTTGCAGATGATACCAAACTGTTTAGGATAGTCAAGACAGAAGCAGACTGTGAGGGACTCCAAAAAGATCTCATCCTGGCAATTACAGACCGGTAAGTCTAACTTCAGTACCGGGCAAATTAGTCGAAACAATAGTAAAGAATAAAATTGTGAAGCATGTAGAAGAACATAATTTGTTGGACAAAAGTCAACATGGTTTCTGTAAAGGGAAATCCTGTCTTACTAATCTATTAGAGTTCTTTGAAGGGGTTAACAAACATGCGGACAAGGGGGATCCAGTAGATATAGTATACTTGGATTTTCAGAAAGCCTTTGACAAGGTCCCTCACCAAAGGCTCTTGTGTAAATTACATGGCCATGGGATAAGAGGGAAGGTCCTTTCTTGGATTGAGAACTGGTTAAAAGACAGGAAACAAAGGGTAGGAATAAATGGTAAATTTTCAGATTGGAGAGGGGTAACTAGTGGTGTACCCCAAGGGTCAGTCCTGGGACCAATCCTTTTCAACTTATTCATAAATGATCTGGAGAAAGGGGTAAGCAGTGAGGTAGTAAAGTTTGCAGATGATACCAAACTGTTTAGGATAGTCAAGACAGAAGCAGACTGTGAGGGACTCCAAGAAGATCTCACCAAACTGAGTGATTGGGCAACAAAATGGCAAATGAAATTTCATGTGGATAAGTGTAAAGTAATGCACATCGGGAGAAATAACCCCAACTATACGTACAGTATGATGGGGGCTAATTTGTCTATGACAAATCAGGAACAAGATCTTGGAGTTATCGTGGACAGATCTCCGAAAACTTCCACGTGGTGTGCAGTAGCGGTCAAAAAGGCAAATAGGATGCTAGGAATTATTAGGAAAGGGATAGAAAATAAGACACAGAATATCTTACTGCCCCTGTATAAAAATATGGTACGCCCACATCTTGAATACTGTGTACAGATGTGGTCTCCTCACCTCAAAAAAGATATTTTGGCCTTGGAAAGGGTTCAGAAAAGGGCAACTAAAATGATTAGGGGTTTGGAACAGGTCCCATATGAGGAGAGGTTAAAGCGACTGGGACTTTTCAGTTTAGAAAAGAGGAGACTGAGGGGGGATATGATAGAGGTCTATAAAATCATGAGTGGTGTGGAGAGGGCGGATAAAGAAAAGTTATTTATTAGTTCCCATAATAGAAGAACTAGAGGACACCAAATGAAATTAATGGGTAGCAGGTTTAAAACTAATAAAAGAAAGTTCTTCTTCACACAGCGTGTAGTCAACCTGTGGAACTCCTTGCCAGAGGAGGCTGTGAAGGCTAGGACTATAATAGAGTTTAAAGAGAAGCTAGATAATTTCATGGAGGTTAGGTCCATAAAAGGCTATTAGCCAGGGGATAAAATGGTGTCCTTGGCCTCTGTTTGTCAGAGGCTGGAGAGAGATGGCAGGAGACAAATTGCTTGATCATTGTCTTCAGTCCACCCTCTCTGGGGCACCTGGTGTTGGCCGCTGTCGGCAGACAGGATACTGGGCTAGAAGGACCTTTGGTCTGACCCATTCCGGCCGTTCTTATGTTCTTATGTTCACATGTGACAGCATACATTTGCACTGATATAGGAACAGTTTTTTCATCCTAAATTGTTTTTTATTTTGTCCAAAAGATGCACAGTGCTTAGACAAGTAGATTTAAAATAACAGGCCTACACACAAGTTCCCTTTACTAAGCTTAACATTTCTGTTCACTGCTCAGGTTGGTCTGGCTTGTTTCCCATCTCTGAGTTGGGGGAACCAGTTTATGCTGCCTACAGTATTCTTCATCAGAGACCTCATAGTATATTAGCTTTTTCCTGACACACCTGGGCCACCCAGCGGACTCCCTACTTCCAAAAAAACAACCGGTATTTTTCTGCCACCTTTTTAATCTTTCATGGTCTTTTTAGGTCTCCTTTGGTCTGTTACTTAGTCTTGGGAAGAGTAAAACATTCTAACATGGATGGAGCCAGCCAGATAACTTCTCCCTCTAGCTTGAGGGCCCATCCAGTATATTAATTCCATGGAAAAAAATCAAGATACCTGAGAGTATACCTTCATAGTTTTACTGTAACAGCCTCTTTACAACCTCCTTTGGTATAGCTGTGTGTATTCACTTAGGCACAATACAGGCACAAAACAGAATAGGGAAACAATTAAATATATCCATAAAAAAACATTTTCCCAGTTCATCACAGTAACCATGGAAATAACTTTGCTCAAATAAAATGGAAATAACACTATGATCATTTAAATATGTACTGTAATGTAATGCACGAGAGAAGGCAGTTAAGTTTTACTTTATTTTTCCTGATTTTGAATGCATAGATTTGCCACTTCACTGTTATCTTAACACATGCTTTATATATTTATAACTCCTGCTCCGAAAATACAAAGTTGAAATGCATCTTTAATCACATTTCCGGGGTGGAGGGAGAAGAAGGATCTAACACTATCAGTGAAACTATAAAAGTATTTTACAAAGTGTAAAACACACGCCTGTGCACATTTGTAGATACCTCAGGCCCTTGCAGTTTCACAGCGGAAAACTTCACAAGAGGTAATGGCTTCTGTATAGCCCTTGACTCTTTCAGAAAGTATGCTTAAATTCCCATTAAATGAAATAGATCTTATTACATTTTGTTGTTGTTGTTGCTGTAGTTCTAAATTAGATACAGCCCTCTTTCATAGGAGATGGTTGTTATAGTCCTGTTTTAAAAACAAAAACAAACTGCCATTCATAAATAATGTTTTTCAAACCTTTAAAGTTTGGCCAAATCATACTATTTTTCATTAAAGCACTTACATGATTATCTACTTAAAGACTATCTCCTTTCAAAATGTACACTTTTTAACCCTATCTGCTTTAATGTAAGATCTGTTTAGAAAATTACAGAATAACATTTTATGAGAGCAGTGTAACTGCTCATGTTTTGATTTAAAAAAACCAGTATGTTTATATCATGCAAATTTCAGCCTGTAAGGTGAAAGTTTCCGTAAGTTATGAGCAAAATATGTGCTTAGGTTTGATTTAGACTTTCCTTTCTAACTTAGAGCTTTAGCAGTAATGATGTAGATGTATTTTTACTACCTGTTTAGTTTATTAATAGTGGCTTAGTCTTGGTTAGCTAGTCAGAAACTTAATATTGCAATAAAACTTAAAACTACATCCAAAATTGTAAAACATTAAAATACATATTAAAAGAGACATAAACAATTAATTTGTAAATGATCACCATACCACTTTCATTATTTTAGCAGCTGACTATGGAAGCGTAAGACTGAAAGGGAACTCGAGAGGTAATCTAGTACCATCCTCTACATCGTGCAATGTCTCAGATCACAGATGCAGTGACAGTTCCTAACAAATATTGTATTATCAGAGGCTACAGCTACTCTGTAGCCTTCTTCTGTAAAAAAGCTGTGCTTCATTTGCATAATTAATTGGCAGTTGCTTTTGCGCAAAAACCCCCTCTTGCACAAGAGCTGTTCATCCTAAAAAAATGAGGAAGATGCCGTCTTTTTGCACAAAAGCCTCTTGCACAAAGCGGCTGCTAATTAACTATGCAAATGAAGTGTGGTGATATCCACACCGTGCTTCATTTGCATAAGCTTTTCCAGAAGAAGGCAACAGTGTAGCCATAGCCTGAGTGATCATAGAAAAAGACATCTGAGACAAAAACACAGAAAGACATTTTGACCTCAAGTGGCAACACGACCTAATAATTAATGGGGTAGATCCTGAGCTGCATGGCAGAGACAATTAATGTTTCACCATGTCAGTGAATCAGTCTTCTAAGTAAGCCATCTGCATGGATTGGAAAGAGAACACTGAAAAGGCCCTTCTTAGTGAGTTCTTAAATAAACTTTCTAAATATCAGGCATAAAAATAAGACTTTTTTAATAAGGGAAAACCAAGGTGAAATAGCAACAACTGCTGTATCCAGTTGCTTATAGACATCCTCTATTCTCAAAGGCTACGTCTACACTATGAGTTTTCTCAGCAAAAAATATGCTAATGAGGGACTCATTTGCATACTTTCTGCCAATCCATTTTTGTGCTGAGGTTTTTGCGCAATAACAAGCAGTGTGGACATTTTCTTTTTGCACAAAACCCCCTTTTTCTGCAAGATCGGTAAGCCTCCTTTTTGGGTCATAAGGATCTTGCAGAAAAAGGGGGTTTTGCGCAAAAAGAAAACACCCACACTGCTTGTTTTTGCGCAAACCCCCCAGCAGATCGGCAGAAAATATGCAAATGAGATAGTGACTCATGCAAATGAGTCCCTCATTAGCATATTTTTACCAAGAAACTCGTAGTGTAGACAAAGCCAAATTGATTAGGGATTTCACACTTCTAAATTTAAATCTAATTATTTCTGACTCAGGAAGCTGGAGAATGTGAAGAATTTTGAATATGTTCTGGCCAAGATGTGACCTGCACTTACTAAGGCAGGTGAGGGTTTAACTCAATGCTTATATACTGAGGCCTATCTGTTGTTGTAGGCAATGGTGAATGTGAAACTGGGAAATGCAGATGCTTCCGCGGCTGGGAAGGTGACCGCTGCCAGTGTTCATCATTGTCAGCAAAACACTGCATGAATTCCAAAGGCCAGATTTGCAGTGGAAGAGGAGCATGTGTATGTGGAAAATGCGAGTGCACTGATCCAAGAAGTTTTGGCCGTTTGTGTGAATATTGCCCTTCTTGTAACAATGTCTGTGATGATAACAGGTATGTTTCTAATGCTACATTTCCATTTTTAATTTTAATATTCCCACTCAGATTCTGTATGCATTAGAATTTTACTATCAGTGTAATCTTACAGAAGCATGAAGCATTGAGTCTCGACTTGAGGATTGGACTATGCAGTTCATTTGTGCCTGAGTTATTCATACTGACTAGAGATGTAAAAGATTAGCCAGTTAACATGTTAACCGGAAAGCTTCACACTTAATGGTTGAGGCTTACTGGTTTCAGTAATGAGTAGGGGCTGGAGCAGATTCCCATCTGCCAGGGGAAGGGGGCTGCTCCAGCCCTGTGGAGCCCGCCGGAGCTGCATCTGTCTGTGGTGGGCCCAGCTGTCACACCAACCACTGAAGGTTATGTGCTGGCTCTCTGGAAGCTGCAAATCCTGCAGTGAAGCCTCTCTGGTCCTGCTGCCAGGGAGGATTCGTTGTGGGCTTCTATGAACCCTACGAGTATGTAATGGCTATTTTTAGTGGTTACACAGTTACTTTTTTAACTGCATTTTTACATCCCTGAGGCTGACAAGCCTAGATTCACATGCAATACATTGAAACTTACTTCAGGTTAAAAAATAGTGTCCTAGTAATCGTAGTTGAGATGATTGTTGTATAACATCATATATTTCTTTATAAATACAGGATGATCATAGCAACATATTTTCTCATTGAATTATTACTAAACTGGAATAATTTAGAGAAGGTCTGAAAATGGTATCTGCTACATAGATCATTAACCCTACAGAAAGGTTACAACATAAAAAATAACCTTCCTGCCAGTGAAAACGTAGCTATTCGTAAGTGATAGTTTCCCCAATTATCACCTCTAATATCATTAGCCCACAGACATTCACCTTCTGCCCCCCCCCTCCCCCCCACTGCCTTCTGTTCTGAAATGTGATTTGTCCTTTTCATATGTGTTCATTTTTTTAAATTGTATCCTTTGGTATATATGGTTGTGACTATTTTCTTCCACTATTTGATCTGAGGAAGTGGGTCTGGCCCACGAAAGCTCATCATCTAATAAACCATCTTGTTAGTCTTTAAAGTGCTACATTGTCCTGTATTTTGCTTAAGGGAACACAGTTATTTTGGGGAAATAGTAATAAAGGAGGTTAGGGTATTCATTATTTTTGGTTCTAAATGCATAATCTACAGGGATGTGCAGCTTTGAGTTTTAAAGGCAGATATTAGGGTGACTAGTTCTGTTCCCATGTGCAAAGAGGCAGAACAGAATCAATCCTAATGCCATGTTTACCCTTGAAGAGAGACTAGTCACAGTCCCTGTCCTTGTGCTTCCTCCCAAAGAGGACAAGGAAAAATGAGCCTGGAGAAAAAGGGCTAGTGTGCAGTCAAAATGTTACAGCAATACAGCTGCACTGCTGTATCTGCACTGCTGTAGCACTTCAGGGTAAACCATCAGCAGGCAAATCCAGGCATGATCTGGTTCACCAGGTTTAGTCATTGGTGGGCCACGACCACTACATTTACCTGTGCCTCCACAGGCATGAGCAATTGCAGCTCCCATTGGCTGTGGATCGCTGTTCCCAGCCAATGGGAGCTTCAGGAAGCAGTGTCCTGATCCGTGCCACTTCCCACAGTTCCCATTGACGAGGAACAGCAAACAGGGCCAACGGGAGCTGCAAGCACCCATACCTGCTGATGCTCAGATAAATATAGAGGCAGCAGCCTTCCAGGAACTAACCCTGACAAACTGCCACCATCTTATTGCCCACCCCTGGTGTAACACTACACTGATAAGAGACATTCTCCATCTACCCTGAGAAATTGTAGCTAGGTCAACAGAAGAATTCTTCTGTCAGCCTACTACAGTCTGTGCAGAGACTTAGGGCAACTAAACTACTCGATTCAGGGGTGCAAAGTTTTTACATTCCTGAGTGACATAGCTATGCCAACCTAATTTTCTCATGTAGATCAGACCCCAGCCTTGTGTCTCCTTCCCCGCTAGTTCTCCACCCATTCAAAAATTGTAGCAAGAACTATATGCTCCTGAAGGCTTTAGCCAATCTCTCAGGCATGCTGCTTCCAACAGCTCGTGCTCAAATGTTACATCTTTCTGCAATTCCCATTGTGGGCAATCTAACTCTTAATCTAAAAAAGTAAACACAGTAAAAATAGAATTGTTATCCATCATGGAATTCTGATCTAGTTATTGTACGTGCTCATGAAGGTAAACGCCAGACCAAGTTGAAAGAGATGAATGCTAAGACTTGGCAGAATGAATGAAAGGTAGAACTCAGGCAGTCCCTGAGTTACGCGGATCCGACTTATGTCGGATCCGCAGTTACGAACAAGGCTTTTCTCGCCCCAGAGGACGCGAGCGGCGGGACGCCCAGATGCGCTGCGGTCCCACCGCCCGCGTCCTCCAGGGTGAGAAAAGCTGCTCCGCGTCTCCCTGGTCTGCTGGGAGGCCCCCTCCCTCCCCCCAGCAGACCAAGGAGGAGGCGAGCGCAGGCG